GCATGCAATACTCCAAATGTGGCCTGACCAGAGTCTTATAAAGCCTCAGTAGTACATCCCTGCTTTTATATGCAAGTCCTCTCAAAATAAATGCCAACATTGCAGTTGCCTTCCTGACTATTGACTCAACCTCATTGGAATTCAGAAGAATGAGGGGAGATCTTATAGAAACATATAAGATTATGAAGGGAATAGATAAGGTGGAGGCAGGGAGGTTGTTTCCGCTAGCAGGGGAAACTAGGACTAGAGGGCATCGCCTCAAAATAAAGGGAAGCATATGTAGGACTGAGGTCAGGAGGAACTTCTTCACCCAAAGGGTTGTGAATCTGTGGAATTCCCTGCCCAGTGAAGCGGTTGAAGCTACCTCACTGAATGTTTTTAAGGCAAGGCTAGGTAAATTTTTGAACAGTAAAGGAATTAAGGGTTATGGTGAGTGGGCGGGTAAGTGGAGTTGAGTCTCAAAAAGATCAGCCATGGTCTTATTAAATGGCGGGGCAGGCTCGAGGGGCCAGATGGCCTACTCCTGCTCCAAGTTCTTATGTTCTTATGTTCTAACCTGCATGTTTACCTTGAGACAATCCTGGTCCAGAACTCCCAAGTCTCTTTGCACTTCAGACTTCTGAATTTTCTCTCCATTTAGAAAATAGTCCATCCTTTTGTTCTTCTTACTAAAGTGCATGACCTCACACTTTCCCATGTTGTACTCATCTGCCACTTCTTTGCCCATTCTCCTAACCTGTCCAAATCCTTCTGCAGCCTCCCACCTCTTCAATACTACCTGTCCCTCCACCTATCTTTGTATCGTCTGCAAACGTAGCCAGAATACACACAGTTCTTTCATCTAGATCATTAATGTATAAAGTGAAAAGTTGTGGTCCCAGCACTGACTCTTGTGGAACATCACTTGTCACTGGCTGCCATCCTGAGAAAGACTCCTTTATCCCCACTCTCTGCTTTCTGCCAGACAGCCAATCTTCTATCCATGCTAGCACCTTGCCTCTAACACCATGGGCCCTTATCACATTCAGCAGCCTCCTGTGTGGCACCTTATCAAAGGCCGCTTGAAGTCCAGGTAGATAACATCCATTGGTTCTCCTTGGTCGACCCTGCTCGTTACTTCCTCAAAGAATTCTAGCAGATTTGTCAGACATGACCTCCCCTTGATGAAACCACGCTGACTTTGCCCTATTTTACTATACACTTCCAAATATTCAGAAATTTCATCCTTTACAATGGATTCCAAAATCTTGCCCACAACCGAGGTTAGGCTAATCGGCCTGTAATTTTCTGTCTTTTGCCTTACTCCCTTTTTAAACAGGGGGGTAACGTTAGTGATTTTCCAGTCCTCTGGGACCCTCCCTGACTCTCGTGATTCCTGAAAGATCACCACTAACGTTTCCACTACCTCTTCAGCTATCTCCGTTCGAACTCTGGGGTGTAGTCCATCTGGTCCAGGTGATTTATCCACCTTCAGGCCTATCAGTTTTACTAGCACCTTTTCCTTGGTGATGGCCATCATACTCAGCTCTGCCCCCTGACTCTCTTGAATTTTTGGGATATTACTCCTGTCTTCCCTAAAGGACATTAATGAATCAGATGGGTTTTTCCAACAATTGACAATGGATTCACTGTCATCATTAGACTCCTAATTCCACATATTTATTTAATTCAAATTTCACCATCTGCCTTAGCGGGATTCAAACCTGTCTCCCCAGAACATTCTGGGTCTCTAAATTAACAGTCCAGCAATAATAACATTAGGCAATATCCTTCCCTTGTACGTATATCTAAATCCCCGAATTCCTTTCAAGTCACAGTCCTGAGAGGGCTAAAGGTTTTATCAGTGTAAAGAATAGGTGACATTTTAGGTCGGACAATGCATCATGGATATGAGAACTTGTTTAGAACCTGTCCGTGTTTTAGTTTGAAGTCAGACTGGTTTTATTTCTAAAGTAAGAATTTATAAAACACCATATTGACTGACTGTCTATAAATTGTGTGCTTTTTGAACAAAACAAAATATATCTACAAATACAAATTCACCTCATAAATTCATGTGTGTGTGTGTGTGTGACAGAGAGAGAGAGATTGAGTGCCGGTAGACAAAAAAAAAATTGGAACGGAAATCCCGTCAGAGGAGCAGAACTTCTTCAAGGTGGGCGTGCCAAGTTTAGATGTGGCAGTGAGTTAAATACTAAATAAAAACCAAAAGAACTGTGGATGCTGTAAATCAGGAACAGAAACAGAAGTTGCTGGAAAAGCTCAGCAGGTCTGGCAGCATTTGTGAAGAAAGAAAATCAGAGTTAACGTTTCGGGTCCAGTGACCCTTCCTCAAACAGAAATCCTGTTGGAGAAAGGAGCAGAACATGCCTGGAAGAGATGTGGCAGTGAATTAAACACTAAGTTCTGAAGTAGGGTCACTGCTGGCATGACCTGCTGAGTTTTTCCAGCTATTTCTGGTTTTGTTTCTGATGTCCAGCATCCGCAGTTCTTTTGGTATATAAGCTACCTATGTACCTTGGCTACACTAGCAGGTCAGAGGTTAGGAATACTGCAGTGAGTAACTCACCTCCTGACTCTCCAAAAGCTGTCCACAATCTATAAGGCACAAGTCAGGAGTTTGCCTTGATAAGTGCAACTCCAACAACGCTCAAGAAGCTTGACACCATTCAGGACAAAGCCTGATTGGCACCACATCCACAAACATCCACTCCCGCCACCACGAAGCTCAGTAGCAGTACTGTGTACTATCTACAAAATGCAATGTAGAAATTCACCAAAGAATCTGAGAAAGCACCTTCCAAACACATTACCACTTCCATCCGGAAGGACAAGGGCAGCAAATTCATAGGAATACCACCATCTGCAAGTTTCCCTCCAAGCCTCTCACCATCTTGACTTGGAAATGTATCACTACTCCTTCAGTGTCACAGGGTCAAAATTCAGGAACTCACTGTGTAACATTGTTGTGGGCCTATCTACAATAGAAGGACAGCAACTCACTATCACCTTCTCAGGGGGAACTAGGAATGGGCAATTAAAAACTGGTCCAACCAGAGATGCCCACATCCCATGAATGAACTTTGAAAATGCCTCCATGAGTACAACAATTCAGACTATAAATAATGAGGCTTAATAAAAAGAATATGTTCCAGGAAAAGAGTCAATGCTTTTGCCCAAATCCCTTTGGCAAGGACTGAACAAAGTATAGAAGAAGAAATGAAATAATTACATTGAATATGATTGCAACTTTCTCAGCAAAAACTCAGTCACTGGCTAAAATCAGAGATGCACAGATGGAGGAACAGGCTTTGGGGAGTCAGGAGGTGAGTTACTTGTTTTGTTACTCCTAGCCTCTGTGCTCCTTTTGTATCCACTGTTTTCATAAGGCAAGTACAGTTGAGTTTCTGGTCAATGGTAACCCTCAGGATATTGATAGTGCGGGATTCAGTGATGTAATGCCGTTGAACTTGAAGGGGCAGTGGTTAGTTTGTCACCTATTAGAGACGATCATTGCATTTGTGTGGCATGAATGTCACTTGTCATTTGTCAGTGCAAGACTGGATATTGCTCAGACCTTTTTGCATTTGAACATGGACTGCTTTTGTATCTGAGGAGTTGTGAATGATGCTGAACAATGTGCAACCATCGTCAAACATTACCACTTCTGATCTTATGAAGGAAGGAAAATCATTATGAAGCAGCTGAAGATGGTTGGCCCGAGGACACTACCCTGAGGAACTCTGTCAGAAATCACACAACACCAGATTATAGAACAAGAGGTTTAATTGAAAACACAAGCAATTGGAGCCTCATTTCTTTCTTCAGGTGTTTGTAAATCCTCGAATTTTGTATACATATACATATTAATGAATTAAAACCTTCTAGCTGTTTAAAGATTTTACAGCATCTTAGGTTTCCCTTATACATCCTCATCAGTAGTGTGACCCATTGATCTTTTACTTATAAATTCTGTGTCAGATACTACCTCTCTCACAAACACCTGAAGGAGTGAGGTGTCGAAATCTTGTGTTTTCAAATAAACCTGTTGGACTATAACCTGGTATCATGTGATTTCTGATCTTGTCCACTTCAGTCCAACACCAGCACCTTCACAACTGAGGAACTCATGCAGAGATGTCCTGGAGTTGAGAGGACTGACCTTCAAAAACCACAACCATATTCCTTCATGCCAAATAAAAACTGAAAGAACTGTGAATGCTGTAAATCAGGAACAAAAGCAAAGTTGCTGGAAAAGCTCAGCAGGTCTGGCAGCATCTGTGAAGGAAAAAACAGAGTTAAAATTTCAGGTCTGGTGACCCTTCCTCAGAACTCAGGAAGGGTCTGAGGAAGGGTCACAGGACCCGAAACGTTAACTCTGTTCTTTCCTTCACAGATGCTGCCAGACCTGCTGAGCTTTTCCAGCAACATTGTTTTTGTTCCTTTATGCCAAGTATGGCTTCATCAGTTTTCCCCTGACTCCCATTTTGGTAGGCCTCTTTAAAACCACATTAAATCAGGAACTGAGTGGCTGTGGCAGACTTCAAACTGGGTACAGTACCATTGAGCAGGGTGTTGCTGAGTAGGCATTATTCTGATGAAAGGTCACTGGACCCGAAACATTACTCTACTTTCTCTCCACAGATGCTACCAGACTTGCTGAGTTTCCGCAGCGATTTCTGTTTTTGTTTCAGATTTCCAGCATCTACAGCCGTTTGTTGTATTATTGCTGAGCAGGTGCTGCTTGGTAGCACTGCTGAAGACATCTTATATTCTTTGGCACTATGGCAACTTTACCTATTTACATTGAATAGTAGAACAGACTCAAAGGATTGAATGATTTACTCCTACTCCTAATTTTCACATTTTTCACAGCACAGAAACGCCACCATGTTGGGAAGGACAAAATGTCTGTGCCGCCATGTTGGGAAGGACGGACGGGACGTCTGTGCCGCCATGTTGGGAAGGACGGACGGGACGTCTGTGCCGCCATGTTGGGAAGGTGATTTCCTCCTTCTGTTCCGAGGAGGGGATAATGGAGTCGGGTGGCGGGGAGCTGGGAGAGAGCGGGCCCGGATTGGGACCTGGCCTTGGGCCCGGGGCTGAAGCGAGTCCTGCATGTGGAGTCACCGGCATTCCTACCAACAACAGCTTCGGCAAACAAAAGGCGTTACCGAAAGGCCGCGAGTTTTTCAGAAACCAGCGAAAAGATTCTGAGGTGAGAGGAGCCAGAATTAACCACCTGTGGGTGTGGGTGTGGGTGTGGGGGGGGTGGAAGAGGGGGGGGGGGCAGCGTGGGGGCGGGGGGGAAGAGGAAGGGGGAAGTGTTTGAAGGGAGGTGACGGGTGGCAAGTGTGGGCAGGGGAAAGAGATGGGGTAACGGGGGAGTGTCCTTTTATACTCCCCATTTCTGTCTGTTAGGGACCTAGGTTTGTCTTTACCAATCTCTTCCTCTTTGCCTACCTATTGAAACTTTTAGCATTAGTCTTTATGTTCCCCGCAAGCTTACTTCTGTACTCTATTTTTCCCTTCTTCATCAATCCCTTGGTCCCTCTTTGCTGAATTCTAAACTGCTCCCAATCCTCATATTTGTTATTTTTCTTGGCCAATCTGTATGCTTCTTCCCTAGATCGGATACTGTCTCTTGTTTCCTTTGAATGCCATGGATTGGCCCTCTTACCCATTTTGTGCCAGACAGGAATAAACAGTGGTTGCAGTTCCCCCGTGTGTTCTTTGAATGTTTACCATTGCTTATCCACTGTCATCCCTTTAAGTAACTCTCCCCAATCTATCAAAGGCCAACTCATGCCTCATATCCTTGTAGTTTCCTTTATTAAGGTTCAGCACCACACTCTCTGAATCAACAACCTCCATCGTTCTCCATCCTGATAAAAAATTTTATCATGTTATGGTCGCTCATCCCCAAGGGGTCTCGCACAGCTAGATTGGCAATGATTCCGATCTCATTACACTCTAAGATGGCCTGCTCTCTATTTGGTACCTCCACATACTGGTCAAGAAAACCATTCTGTATACACTCCAGGAATCCCTCCTTTACGGCATTGTGGCTAGTTTGATTTGCCCAATCAGTAAGATAAGACCTTTGTTGACTGATCTAGACATGATAGGCCAAATGGCTGCCTCATGTGCTGTAAATCTCTGGGTCTGAGGATGTAAGTTAACTGCAGAGATGTGGTTTAGTTGGCCAAAAAATGTTGAGAGCCAATATTAAACGGTAAAAGCAAAAATTCTGTGACTGCTTGAGATCGGAAAGAAACTCTGGTATGTTCACCAAAATCATTTGCTCAAGTAGATTAAATTTGCGTCAGTAACTTATGTGCAGATGTAGATTCTTTGTGTGATCAATATTGTCTTGTGGCAGTCACTTTGATACCACAGTTGAGATGAAGTTGGATAGCTGTGTACAACTTTGGTTTTCAACCTGAAAACATTTGGTTCAAATGAATTGTTTCCATGATTAATAGAGCATTTATTCATCTAACCATTGCATGAATGCCAGCTGATTAGTATTCATAATTCATCCTAATGACCCAGATCCCAAATTCGCATGGTATTGGTAACTACAAAGTTTAGAGAGCTGCTTATCATCATTATTCAGTTACTTACAAATAGAAATTCCTGGAGAAACACCAGAGGTCTGGCAACATCTGTGGAGAGAAAACAGAGTTAAGAATGACTCAACTTAAAACATTAACTTGTTTTGTCCTTTACAGATGGTGCCAGGCCTGCTGAGTTTCTCCAACCATTTCAATTTTTGTTAGTTTCACATCTCCAGCATGTGCAGTCCTTTCTTTTATCATAATTCAGTTACTTACTTCCTTCTGCTTGGGTTGCCGGCTTCACCTCTTTCTTTGGTTAAGTAGGCACATCCCATACTTGTCACTGATTTAGAAATGTTGATTGTTTGTGTGCTTGTACTTTTGCTCCTTGCCATTGCTGCCCTCCCCTGACCAAACAAAAACCCAACTCTGTCCCTTCCTCAAGTGCTGGTGCCTGGCATTTAAATAACCTTAGATCTACTGTTTTATTGTAGTGTAATATCTCGTTTTCTCCTGTTTGTGTAAAAAAAGTCTTCTGATTTTTGTTTCCCCATGACCTCTACAGGGTTTCTCCGAATCACCTGACCTGGAGTTTGAATATTCTGACAGTGATAAATGGGCAGCAGAACTTTCAGGTAAGGACAAGAAGTGAAAGATCTCTCAAACCCCAGAACCTTTTTCAGTCTTAAAAACGTGACATTGAGCACTGATGTCTGGTGAAATGGGTGAAAATGCAGAGTTTTGATTAAGCTATCTAGCATTGCATCTATGTGTAATCCCTTCCCGAGCTGCATCCTTTTGCCACAGTCCTTCAGGACATTGCTGGATCTTCCCAGCAAGAAGCTGCAATTACAATGTAAACAGTTAACACACACACTTCCATTTCAGCTGGATGTTTATGTATATTTAATTGACTGGAAGTATGCAGGTACATGAGATTATTTAATCTATTACCAGCTAATTTGATCCATGCAGGGAGTTCGGGAGTAGAGATTTTTCTCCTCTCTATCTTCTGTTTGGCTGTCATGTCTAGTTTCAGGTGGTGTAACAGCAAAAAAAAGATGCCAGCGTGTAGGTAGATGCTAGCTTGGGCTGTAGAGGAAAACCCTGTCCTTCAGCAACTACCGTACCTTTCTATTCTAGAAAAATTAAATTGTTTGTTGGGATTGACTTCCTTTTTTTTTTAGGATCCTACAAGAATACTAAAATCACCTCAATCTTCTCTTCCAATGAGAACATGCTAAATTCATGGAAACATTTCTCATAATTTAAATCTGTCCACCCGCTCATTCATTTTGGTTGCTCTGTTGTGTATCCTTTCAATTTCTGTAATACCTTTCTGTACTGTAGTCACCAATATGAAGTGACAGAATTAGCTCACTCTTTCAGCTCTATCTTGGCTTTCGGTGTATCCTGCAATTGTTGCTCACTGTCAGTAGACTGGAGTTGAAGCCGAGATGAGATTAGCCACAATCGTATTAAATGGCAGAACAGGCTTAAGTTGAATTGCCTACTCCTCCTCCCCAGTTCTTCTGTTTTATTGCAATAGTTTCCATTTCTTGATTATCAGGATCCCTGTCACTTTCCACGTAGATTATATTTCCATCAAAATAACAAATTCAAGTTCTGAAATAAATCAACTTTGAGGCCAAAGAATTGGAGTGTCAGGTGGAAAAATGAAGTGCTGTTTCTTGAGCTTTCATTGAACTTCACTGCAATAATAAGGTCAGAATAGGAATACAATGAAGAGTTAAAACTGGCAAGTAACCTCAAAGTCAGACCTCAGAATTATTGTGGTGTGGAAGGAGGCCCAGCATGTCTACACCAACTCTCTGATCATCATAACTTAGTGGAATTCTCCTGCTCTTTCCTCTCAACCAGGCATACTAGTTTTGTTTAAATAATCATGTAATCCTGTCTTGAATTCCTTGATTGCATATCTGCTTTGTCCAGACTCCTCATGATTTTGAAAACTTCAATCCGATCACCTCTCAGCCTTCTCCTTTTCGAGGAAAAAAGTTCCACCTTCTCCGATCTGTCTTCATAACTGAAGTTCCTCACCTTCAGACCATCATGTAAATCTCTTCTCCACACTGTCCAGTGCACCCTAAAGTGTGGTGTCCAGAACTGTGCATAATACTTCAGCTAAAGTCTAATTAGTGTCCTATAGATTCTTGTGCTTGTTCTTGTACACTGTACCCCTATTAATAAAGCCCATGATAATAGTGTGCTTCATTAACTCTTCTCTCCATGTATTCTGTCACCTTTAATGACATACTAGTGGGGAAATCTTACTACAGCTGTACAGATGAAGTGAGACGACATCTGGAATACTGAGAGCAGTTTTGGTCCCCTTATTTAGGGAAGAATATCATTTCATTGGAGGCATTCAGAGAAGGTTCAGAGGGATGATCCCTGGTACGGAAGGATTGTTTTATGAGCAAAGGCTAAACAGGATGGACTCTACTCTCTGAATAAATGTTGAGAGGGTGTTTCCCCTCATGGGAAAGTCCAGGATCAGAGGGCATAGTTTCAGAATAAAGGGGTGGCAATTTAAGACTGAGACGAGAGGGAATTCTTTCTCAGAGGGTTTTAAGGTTACAAGAGCTGTGGGGAAGAATCCTTGTGTATAGTTAAGGCTGAGGTAGATTCTTGATCAGTTGGGAACTAAAGGTTATAAGGAAACTGTAGAAAAGTGGATGTCAGGAATTTTCAGATCAGCTATGATCGTAGTGAATGGCAGAGCAGATTCAAGGGCCCGAACAATTTGTTCCTATTTTGTATGTTCTTATATGCACACATGCATCCAGGGCTATTTGCTCCTACACATACAAGACCTAACACTTTATTTTATACTGTGTTTCCATGGCCCTTCTACCAAAATATATCACCTCTCGCTTCTCTGCCTTGAAATTCATCCATCTTCTATCTGCCCATGACTCCAATTTGGCCTTCCTCCAATTTAGAACTTTTAACTTTTAGATCCGGTCTATCCTTTTCCATCACTATTTTCAAAGTAATAGAATTATGGTCGCTGGTCCCAAAATGCTCCCACAGTGACACTGCAGTCACCTGCCCTGCTTTATTTCCCAAGAGTAGGTCAAGTTTTGGACCTTCTATAGTAGGTACATGCATAAACTGAATCAAAAATTTCCTTGGACGCACTTACGAATTTCCTCTCCATCCAAGCCCTTAACACTATGACAGTCCCAGTCTATGTTTGGAAAGTTAAAATCCCCTACCATAACCACCCTATTATTCTGACGGATAACTGAGATCTCCTTACAAGTTTGTTTCTCAATTTCCTGTTGACAATTGGGTGGGGGGGGGGGGGGGGGGATCTATAGTACAATCACAGTAAGGTGATCGTTCCTTTCTTATTTCTTAGTTTCACCCAAATAACTTCCCTGGACATATTCCCAGGAATATCCTCCTTAAGTGCTAAGTACAGCCCGTAATGTTATCTCTAGTCAAAAACGCCACTCTTTCTATTCTACCTATAGCATCTATACCCTGGAACATTAAGCTGCCAGTCCTGTCCATCTCTGATCCACATCTCTGTAATTGCTATGATATCCCATGTTCCCAACCATGCCCTGAGTTCACCTGCCTTACCTGTTAGACCTCTTGCATAGAAATAAATGCAGTTTAATTTATCAGCCCTACCTCCATTCTCTGCTTTGTTCTTGCCTGCCCTGACTTTTTGACTTGCTCCTTTTCTCAACTGTACCAGTCTCTGATTGATCTCTTTCCTCACTATGTCTCTGGGTCCCACACCTCACCCCATTCCCCAAACCCTGCCAACTGCACACCCCTGCCATAACCGCTCCCCCCCACTCTCTACTGCAAGGCAACTAGATGGGTCTGTGCCCTAAGCTTAGACCAACCCAGTACATAATAAAGACCATCCTATGAGGGCAAACTGGTTTGACTGGGCCTTTATTTACTAGTGTTTCGTAGAATAAGATGGGATCTGATCAAAATATTTAAAATGCCAACAGGACTAGACAAACTAGATGCAGGGAGGCATTTCCCCTAGTTGGGAGTCTAGAACCAAGGGTAAGTCGCAGGATAAGGATAGACCATTTAGGACTGAGATGAGGAAACTTTTCATCACCTGAGTGTGGTCAAATTGTGGAATTCTTGACCATGGAAGGCTGTGGAGGCTGAGTTTATTCAAGAAAGATAAATAATCTTTTAGATAATAAAGGCATCAAAGGGCGTGGAGTGAAAGTGGGAATATGGTGCTGAGCTAGAGGATCAGCCCTGAAGGCTTGAATGGCTTACTCTTACTCCTGGTTTCTAACTTTCTATGTGATATGGGAGTTTGATACATCTTTTTTTGATCTGTATGAGACTATCTCGGAGCAACCATTCCGTGCTGAGATGAACTCTTTGACTCCCATCAGGGAGAGGATTCTCGGCCTTATCAAGCACAAGAAAGAAGGCGTTCAGAAATCTTCAGAAAGAATCCAGGCAATCTGTAAAAGCTATTACTGCAGAATTAATGAGGAACAAGAAACTTTTTGCTTTTCCATAATCCTGTTGATCTGCTCAGTCCACCTTTACAGGCAAACCTCCAACTATCTGATTACAGACACCACCAACAGCTGTTTTCAGCACTTCTAGTTTGGAAAGAGAATCTACAAGCACATCACAGGCCTACAACAATCTTGGAGATGATCTATCTATCATCTTTATATGTATTCTTTATCCTTTCAAATCTTTGTATCTGTATTTTAGCTAATTTTATAAGGTTTTATATAAATAATTTTCAACAGTTGTGTGTAAAAATAAACTTTATCTTATTTAAAGACAAGAACTTTGCTACTTTTTTTTTAAAGTTAAAACTGTCAAACTAAAAAAGCTAAAATTTAAGCAAGCTGTACAAATTCATAGTTCATGGACCACTTGAGAACACAGCTGATCTGATCTTCAGATTTATATGTGAGGAGTTGAAAGATAAGTGTTGCCCTTTGTTTACTTGAGTCTGTGTTGGGAAAGATGGAGGATGTGATAGTGAATCACCCCTTCAGAGAGCTCTAAGTAGTATGGGAACAATCTACTTAGTGATAAGAGGAGTGAGTAAACTGTATTTGGTATAATTAAGTTTTAAGCAATAAAAGTGGTGGAAGGTGGTTTTTAGAAATGTTGAGGCTGGACACATGAAAGTTTTCTATAGTCCTTGCGTAATCATTCTAGGAGTTTGGATGAGGGAAGCTCAGTTAATGTAGCTTATATGGATTTTAGCAAATTTTTTGATAAGGTCTCACATGAGAGACTGATTGAGAATGTTAAAGAATATGGAATTGAGGGACAGTCAACCAGATGGATCAGAGACTGGCTTAGTAATAGGACACAAAGGGTAGCGGTGGAAGGCTGTTTGACTAGAGGCCGGTGTCCAGTGGCATACCACAAGGATCGGTACTGAGACCCTTATTGTTTGTCATACACATAAATGATATAGAAGAAAATGTAGGGGGGAACGTTAAGCAAATTTGCATTGGTAGAGTGGTAGAGAAGATAGTTGAAGGTTACAGGAGAATACAGATAGGTTGGTCAGATGGGCAGACCAGTAGTAGCTGGTATTTAATCCAGATAGGTGCGAGGTAATCCACTTTGGAAGAAGAAACAAGATGAGGGAGAATTAGTGAATGGCAGGACACTGGAGGAACAGAGGGATCTTGGGATAATTATTCACAGATCCCCGAAGTTGGCAGAGCACATGAATTGGATAGTTAAGGTGGCATATGGGTCACTTGCTTTCATCAATCGTAGCATAGAGTACAAGAACAAGGAGGTAATTTTGGAGTTGTTCAGAGCATTGGTCAGTCCACAACTGGAGTACTAGGTACAGTTCTGGTCACCTCACTGCAGGATGGAAGTGGTAGCACTGGTCAGGGTACAGAGGAAGTTCATCAGGTTGTTGCCTGGGATGGAGAAATTGAACTATAAGGAGAGACTATAAGATAGAAAAAGCTGAGGGTGGACGTGATTGAAGTGTATACGATTGACAGTTATGGACAGGGTGAGTAGAGAGCCCTTTGCTGATGGGTCAGTCGCAAGATGACATAGTTTTAGGGTAAGGGACAGGAGATTGAGGGGATTTGGGGAAAAAACGTTTTCAATTCAACAGGTGGTGGGAATCAGGAATGCACTGCCTGGGAAGGTAGTGGAGGCTGGGAATCTTACAACCTTTAAAAAAAATTTGGATTCACACTTCAAATATCATAACGTTCAAGGATATGGGACGAGTGCAGGAAATTGGGATTAGCACACTTTTTTAGTAGTAGTTACGTCAGTGCAGACTCGATGGGCCAAAGGTCCTTTTCTGCACCATAAATAGATGGTGAGGAATTGAGTAAAATGAGGCAAGGGTCTTTCAACTGCAGTGGGATGGGATCCATGACTACAGAAGAGAGAGAATCTAACCACTCTGCATATGCTGCACTGTAGGCAGATGCTTCCTGTTAGATCTGTTTGCAATTGATCGCATCTAGGTTACAAGACACATTTTGGTTTTTTCACTCCTAATATTACTTTTATTATGTTTTGATAGAGCTCTATAGCTACACAGAGGGTCCTGAGCTTCACCTGAATAGAAAATGCTTTGAAGAAGAATTCAAGACTCATGGTAATGATATTGCTTTTGATGTTGAATGCAAATACAAACACTGTCTTTGTAAACTAGTGGTGAGTGTTATCTTGAGGATTGTTTATTTTGAGGCTTAGTCCAATTCTAGTCTAGTTTAATGATTTTGATATAAGTTCATTAATCCATTGCATTCTTAGCTTTCGAAGTTTAAAATGAATATTTTCTTTTTCATTTAATATATGAAGATTTTGTGGTGCTTGCGTTGTTAATTCTGGCCAAACCTTATTTTATCTCACTGAGCTTGGCCGTTTTCCAGTCCAGAGGAGATTCGTTGTCCTTTTCTGTCCTGACATCAAACAAAACATGTAGTCTGATGTTCTTGCACTCTTTTAACTACTATGTAAAAGAACCTTCCTGGGGACTAGAAAACTTCTGATACATTTTACAAGAAGTTCCAACTTTGACTTTGTGCACTTATACTGGAATGAAAATTAATATGTTTAGCACTGTGTGTTGCTTCTAAGGCTGAGACAGTCAATGTCTATATGTAGCAAGATCTGGGTTTGGCAAGATATGGTAATTTCGCACATATGCTAGATAATTGAAATCACCAAAAGAATCTAATCATCTCCCCTTAGTGGCAGTAATGCTATTGAATGTTGTGTCATCATCTAAGCTTGAGAACATTACCACCTACAAGTTCCCCTTCACACTGCCTTGACATGGAATTATCTTGCTTCTTCACTATCACGTGGTCAACTTGCTGGAACTTTCTTTCTAACAGCACTGTAGGTATATATACACCCTGTGGGCTACAGTGGTTCAAGAAGGTAGCTCAGCATCACCTTTTCCAAGGTGATTACTGATGGACATAAATGCTGGCTTAGCCTCTGATCCCATGACCTGTGAATTAATTTAAAAAGCCTTGCAATAGTTAACATCATGTAAAAGAGATACTTACCAAAACTGAAACTTGTTTAAAATCTTCAAAGGCTTAAATGTAGATAAATCTCCAAGGCAGATTGAAATGTATTTTGGGTTGTTGCATGAGGCAGGGGAGGAAATAGGCGTGCTTGCAATAATTTCAATTCCTCTCTGGTCACAGGAGAAATACCAGAGGTCTGGAGGCACACCAATGTAGTACCATTATTCAAGAAGGGAGCAAGAGATAAAACAGGAAACTACAGGCCTGTCAGTCTAACTTCAGTTGTTGCAAAACTATCAGGAACAGTTCTGAGGGACAGAATTAATCAGCAGTTGGAGAAGTAGGGAATAAGCAAGGACGGTCAGCATGGTTTTGTTCAGGAGAGATCACGTCTGACCAACCTGGTTGAATTCTTCCAAGAGGTGACCCGATGTGTAGATGAGGGCAATGCATTTGATGTTGTCTAATTGGACTTCTTCAAGGTTTAAGATAAGATCCCACATAGGACATTGGTAGCAAAGGTAAGAGTCTGTGGGGTCCAAAGAAATTTGGCCAGTTGAATCCAGAATTCGCTGAGTGCAGGAAGCATAGAGTGATGGTCAAGGGGTGTTTTGTAACTGGATCCCTGTCTGGTAGAGTTCCACAAGGATCAATGTTGGAGGCTTTGTTGTTTGTGGTATACACATGATTTATCCTTGAGGGATCTTTGTGTGAATGTACGCCAGCGCCCTAAGTCAGTTGCACAGGTAGGTAATATGGTTAAGAAGGCATACGTGATACTTGTCTTCCTTGGCCGAGGCATAGAGTTTAAATCAGGGATGAATTGCTGGTACTGTATAAAAGGTTGGTTAAGCTACAGCTAGAATACAGTGTGGAGTTATGAAATCCACGTTATAGGAGGGATGTTATAACATTGGACGTCGTGTTGAGGAGATTTTCTCAGGATGTTACCTGGATTGGGGAGTTTTAGTTATGAAGAGAGATTGCATAGACTGGGGTTGTTTTCCTTGGAGCAGAGGAGACTGAGGAGGGACATGATTGAAATGTATAAAATTGAGGGGCATAGATAGGGTAGACAGGAAGAAGCTTTGCCCCTTGGTTGAGGGATCAATGACTTGGAAGCGGAGATTAAAGGCAAGGAGCAGGAGGTTTAGAGGGGATGTGAGGAAATGCGTTCTTTGTTTGAGGTAATCTCGATCTTACTGCCTGTAAAAATGGTAGAGGCAGAAACTCTCACGACATCTAAGAATCATTTAGATGTGTACTTGTGATGCCAAGGCACACAGGGCTGTGGACCATGTGCTGAAAAATTGGATTAGAATAATTAAGTGATTTTTTTGACCAGCACAGAATCGATGGGTCGAAGGCCTCTTTCTGTACTATAGATCTCTATGACAAATGAATATAGTTAAGGAAATTGAGTGTAAACCAGGGAGTTTAGTGAGTGAGAGTAAATTTTGTTCTTTAAATCTGCTGTAGTCTTAAATTAGCAGTAATTGGAAAGTATTGTGTATGTTGACTTAGTTTCTTTGTATTTTGCAGCTTACAGGATTGTGCTGGGAGAGTTTAGTCAATCAGCAAATTGGTATGATGAGAAGTGCCATTTTGAGAGTTTAGATTTCAATCTAGTGGCATGTGGGTATCGGTTATTTTTAAATGCTTCAAAAAATTAACTGAACCAGTCAATCTTTCCAGTATCATGACCTCATCCAATGTTTGTGGGAGAACAGCAATTCCTGGAGTATTGATAGTTTATTTGTATTGCATTAGGTTTATGACAGTTTGAGCAGCGTATGTTAGATTTTGGCTTGGTACAATCAAGGATTGATTTTAACTTGGGAAATCCGGAGTTTGGAAGCATTTAGGATGTGGGTTTGGAACCTATATGAAGGTATAGGGGAGATGTCAGGGGTAGGTTCTTCGCACAGAGAGTGGTGGGTGTGTGGAATGCGCTGCCGGCAGTGGTAGTGGTGTCAGATACTTTAGAGACGCTTAAGCAAATCTTGGATAGGCACATGGAGGATAGTAAAATGTAGGATATGCAGGGTAGATTGATCTTAGTAGGGTAGTAGGTTGGCACTACATCGTGGGCCGAAGGGCCTGTACTGTTCTTTGTCCAATGTTCTTTTGAGTAGTTTTGGAAGAAATCTGCCTGAAATTCGAACTAAAGTAAAATTTATTTCCTGGAAAGGTTCGTAGAAAACTCCGAGAGAAAGTTACCTTAATGGAATGTTAATTTGAGTAATTTCCAGGCAGGAGTGTTTAGTTAGAAATTGGCAGATTGTTAAACAAATTGCAAAATCCAAGCTTTCGGTTTTGTGATTATTCATGTAAGAAATCTTCACAATTCACACAAAGGAACTGGGAAAAATCAGTTGATTTGAACTTGAGATTTAAAGTAAAAGCATAATCTTTGTGATTTGATCATGTTTGGGTTTGGGTGAAAGTTTTGTTTTGCTGGACGTTTTAAGATTTTTCTCAACTTTAAATGTTCTTTCAGTTCCTATAGATTGGAACATAGCTAATGTAAGCCCACAATTTTTAAAAGGAGACAGAGGAAATGGGGAATTACGGACAGATTAGCCAGATGTTGGTCGTAGGGAAATGCTGAAGTCCACTCTTAAAGATGTAATAGCAGAACGCTTGGAAAACATTGATAGAAGTGTCACCTTGTAAGACAACACTTGGAGCAATCCTCTCCAGTGTTTTAAGCAAGCGGTCACGTTGGCTGGCCAGGATTTCTTCGCAGGGTAATGATGCACATCCAAGTAGAGGAGGAGATTCGTGCTCCAAGCGAAGCAACAGAGCTGCTCCGGCAAGGGGTCTATCTGCCAAGCACCAACCAGAAGTCCTGAACACTTTACCCCAGTTGATCCTCATGGAGGACGCTGCAGAGTAGAGTTCCTGGCACTCACGCATTCACCCTAAGTCAACCAGGTTTGTGAACTTGAGGAGCATGTCATCTGCATATGCCGAAAGGATCACCTCTCAACCCAGGCCTGCGCAGACCTGAGGAGGCACGGTGGCTCAGTGGTTAGTGCTGCTGCCTCTCAGCACCAAGGATTACACCCTCGGGCAACTGTCTGTGTGAAGTTTGCACATTTGTCCCTGTGTCTACATGGGTTTCCTCGCACAGTCCAGGGATGTGCAAGGTAGGTGAATTGGCCGTGCTAAATTGCCTGTAGTGTCTAGGGATGTCGAGGGTGAGCGCGCGCAAGGGAGAGACTGAGTGAGCGCGCGCGTTTGTGTGTGTGTGTGTGTGGGGGGGAGAGGAGGGTGGGGGGGGCGGGGAAGAGGAGGGTAGGGGGGTGGAGACACCTGATTGTGATTGGAGAATGGCTCCTGCCGCATGGAGGCCTTTGGAACACAGGATGTGTACACACTGGAATTGTACAGGCAGTCACTTATGTACAATCCGACCCCAAGCGCCTCAAAGCTGAAGGTGATGGAATTGGGATGGAGTTTTGTCAGACGTCCAAGTCAAAGGTCTTAACCGAGGCCCTCGACTTCCCTACTGTTTCTGAGCTGTTCTGGTGTTGCCATGTTCCCTCCTCTTGATGATGTGATTGAGATCTCCCCTGAGAGGAATGAATTCACCCTCACCGGAGCTAAGAAGAGTAGACCTTTCTTCGAGTGCCGCTCAGGCCCTCGCCAAGGTGTGCATACATTCACGGAGTGAAGCACCACACCTCTGAAACAAACGGTGAGTTGGAACACACAGCCTGGCACGTGCTCCTTGACTCTCGATCTCGGGATGGGGAAAGGGTACCAACAAGATAGCCACCCTGCCAGAACTGGAGGCCAGGTCATTCATGTTGACCATTCCCCACCACTGCAGGAGCCATGCAGTTTTATCTCCTGAAACAGTATGGGTTTCTCACAGGAAGCTCACCACGTACTTATGTTCCCTGAGGAACAAGAGGATATGAAATCTGTGCTTTCCTGCTGTCATTGACATTGAGGCGAGGTACGGATGTTCTCATGGCTGCAGTATGTGCCACCGTCACCAGGTGAAACAATGAAATCAACTTACTGAGCCAGTGGAGGGGCTTTCTTTCCCCTTCACTACCTGAAGACGCTATAAAGGAAACTTTGCCCCCACCGGCTCATGTTC